GCAACTGGATTCTTCGTGGAACCAGGGAGGTAACAACCGCCGGGACCCTTGTTGCATTTGGATTAGAAGTTTCAGGACTACTCCTTGACCTACTGTTAGATGAACTAGGATCAGAAGGGGGAGAAATGCCTGACATCTTGACCCAAACTCGGCTGAACTTTTGCGCTCAACTGCAACGATGTGATCCAACGCGAGCTTTGCTCAGCGTCCCAAGCAAAAGTGTGCAGTGATGGGACAAAAGACCAATGCAGCACAATACTACCTCAACCAACAAAGTCTTCGCAAGTTGGATATTAAGATAATAAAGTGCAATTGAAATTAATTCAAGTTGTATTGAAGTTCGGATGCAATACGGCTTCGCTAGCGGTAATGACCCTAGCTCTGACCGCAAAACAACACTGAACTAAAAACAAAAGGCAAATGCTACGGGACAAAAGACACTCAGCAAACGACAGGGACAGACCGACGGAGAGTAGCGAGCAAGCTCAGCTACCTCGGCGTTTCGGATGCACCTACCGGATGTTGTAGAACCGCTGGACTTGTGCCAGGGTCTACCAAAGTGTTCGATCGTCCTGGCCCCCAAAATTGGGGTAAAATTGGTTGGTCCTAAGAGGGACTGGGCGGCGATTCTCCAGGATCTGGGCGACCCCTTCAAGACGTAGCCAGTCCTCTACCTCCGCAATCCAGCAGAGTTCCCTGTCTGAACGCCCCTCTGAGCGGATGGTTTTGATGCCGAGTTGCCTGCACTCGTTCAGGATGTCAGAACGGTCGTCGATGAGACAATGTGCCTGAAGAGCGGAGATGATCGAGGATTTGCCCTGCCTACCGCAAGGATAGCGTGCCAGGTGCACTTCTCGAAACGGCAATCCTTCCGCAATGAGCTGGCTAATCACGTGCTCAGCACCGGCCTTGGTGCTTTCAATCTTGGATTGGCCGGCGTATGAAACAATGTGGAACTCAATTTGATTACCAGCAATCCTAGTCAATGACCGAAACTTATCAACTAAGTGGGAAGACAATTCACCTACGGCGTTGAGAGCCTGGTCAATGGTATCGTGCCAGTCGATACAAACAACTACGTTGGATGTATTAACGTGGACTACCTTAGAGACTAAGTTGGGTTGATGCTGGTAATGTCGCGGCACAGAGCCAGCGACCCCCTCAGGCCGATCTGGTGTTGGGTCAGGCAAAGGCCGCCCACGGACGTGGGGTGCAAGGCCAGAACCTGAGCTTTGCTCTTGCGTCTGCTGCTGTCCTTCGGGATCAAGTGGAGGAGGATCTCGGGACGGTTGACCGGCAGGTCTTGGCCCCCCAACTCCTGGCGGAGGAGGTTTTACAGGCTTAAGACTAGCTGGATTAGGGGGAACAGGCCTATTAGGTCTTGGGGGAATTACCACAGGTGCCGCGGGTGCAGCAGGTGCCACAGGTGCAACGGGTGTCGCAGGCCCGATGTTCACAGGTGGATGTTTCCAAGGCAGATTCTTCTTTTTCTCTGGAGCTGGTGGCAACGGTTCAGGCCTTTGGGGCGTGTCGGGGACAGCAGCCCCCTTTGCACGGATTGGCACAGGAACGGAACTAGCTCTTTTGCGAGACTTAGATGAAATCTTATTGGAAATTGGTACTTCCCTTCCCCTTTGTCTGGCAGCAACTGCGGGCGCAGTCTCGGCTGAGGGTGCTCTTGACCTGGATCGTGCAACGGGAGAGCCGGCTGGCTCTGATACGGTCTCTGTCGCGACACGGGCTGTGTCAGCGACCCCAGTTCCAGCACCTTGCAAGGATTGCCTCCAGGGATAAGCTGAACTACTAGAACCGCTTAATGGGGGAACAGTCAAAGATGGTACTGTTGGGGCTGCAGGTGGAGGTGCAGCAGAAACCGGATCTTTTCTGGGCTGTGCCGGCTTATCACGTTGGATTCGGGAGGTTCTTATGTTAGGACGCTGTCTCTTTGGTGGAGACTCAATTGGACGGGCAGGGGTGCGCTCAGCGAAGCCAGCGTCGAAAGGTTCTTGCTGGCCGACAAATGCCTGACCTGATGAAACAAACCTGGCGGTTCGAGTATCGGCAGTTTCAGAGCCCTCAGATTCAGTACCGGGGTTATTGGTATCAAGATTATAAACACTGTTGGGGTCTAAATTACTTGAACCAAGAACAGTACGATGGGATCTAAGTGCAGGATCACGCCACAACGAGTCGGGAAGCTCGTGTGGGTTGACCCCAAGCTCTGGTGCCACGGCGTGCGGCACAATGAACGGCAAAGTCTGCGGCGCGTACGCGATCGGAGGATCAGCGACCCTAGCCCAGGTGCCAGCGGAGTCAATTCTAATTTCGGGGTAACCGTGCACTTGGGGTCTTAAAGCAAGAGGTCTCCTAGAAACACCGGTTATGGTTCGGGCTCTATAAAGTTCTTGATTAAGTTCAATGCGTTCACGGGTCTCCCTTGGGACTAGATTGACAGGCAATGGCGGATTGGACCTAGTTCTTTTAGGCCTACGACGGCGCGTGGAAACCTCACGGCCGTGTTCAGTTGTTGTAAAGTCAGGGAATTCAGGTTCACCTTCGGCCTCAACCTCAACTTCAACCACTTCGTCCTCCTCCAAGGCTTCCTCTTCCTCTTCCTCCTCCACCCACTGCTCCTCTTCAGGCGGTGGATCGTTGGGATCCTCCGGAGCAGCCTCTTCTCGCGCCTCTGCTGGCTGGGAACTGCGGGCAGCGAGCTCCTGTGCAGTTGGCGGCGGATGAGATGGTGGTGGTGGTAAAGGTGGTTGCTTATGAAGGGTCGGACTAGGGGGAATGTTATTAGGTGGAGGTGGCAAACTTTGAATTCTATCTGCAAGGGTTGTGGCACTAGAATCAGGAGCTTTAGGCCTAGCTTTAGCTGGTGGCTTAGCAGGGCTAGCAGCTGGGACTGGTGCTACGTCGCGCCCAGAGGCAGCGACCCCTTGAGAATCTGACTTTGGGGCTTGTGGGACCGGATGGACAGAAACAGTAACCCTTGGCCGCGGTGGCACTGCTGGCTCAGGTGGTCTTCGCAATGAAGGTTGCCAGTTCGGCGGTGGATGCCCAGGCTCTTTGGGTCCTTGCTGGACCGGAGTAGGTTCTGTGCCTCCACTTGCCGCGCCAGCAACGGGTGTTGCGGCAGCAGGCCTTACCACTTTTGGATGGGGTTGCTGCTGTGGGCCTATGTATCTATAATACCTATCCCACTCTTCTGGGCGTGGGTGCTCTGCCCCTAAGATTCGTTGATTGATGATCCTTTTTGGGGGTAGATCACCATAGTTTATCACTTGCTCAGCGTGTGATGTACCTCTACGCCTGTCCAAACCGTAGGTGTGAGCCCACTCTTTGTAAGGGATGAGGATCTGGTAGGCCAAAGCTAAGCACTGTGATGTTGGGAACTCCTCAACAAGTCTTGAATGAAGAGCTATCAACCAGCGAGTGCTTTCGTCGGCGTATTCGTAAGAAATCTTTCTTAACCAAAAGCCACCTACAATATCCCCTCCGGAGTTATGGTAAAGCCAATTTTGGTATGCCTCGAAGTCGTTCCACCAAGCTCGCTTTGCTTCTTGCCACCTGGTTGTGGCACCGCCCCTGCTGGATCGAACCCTTGTTCGGTGGGCTGTTGATGAACTAGCGGGGGAATGTCCTACTTGGATAGGATCGGCACCTGGGTCAACAAGATTAGGGCTAGTTGGTGGTGGGACTATTTGATCGGGGCAACTAGTGTTGGCTTCTGTCGCGACACCGGATGTGTCAGCGACCAAGGGCTCGGATGCAACGGCTGCTTCGGATGCTTCGGCAGGTGGGCCTTCGGCTTCCACTTCTGCCTCAACTCCTACTGGGCTCGCTTCAGTGCCTAACCCTAAAAGATCTGTTGTTTCAGCTTCGCACTCGGCCTGGTCAGGAGAAGGTACCGGAGAAAGGTGATCTGGATCTTGTTGTTCCTCCTTTGCACGATCAATGTCCGTGAAAGCAGCTTCGGCCGGATTGTCCGTTTGAAGCGGTTCTTCCAAAAATGGTTGATCTGAAGGTTGTTCAAAGTCCAGTGCACTCTCCTCCGTCGCGACGGGCTCGTCAGCGACCTCCTCTGGCAGACCTATTGCTGATAAAACTGCACCCAACGACTGAGCCTCCTGTAGTTCCTGCTCCTCCTCCTTCACGGGGACAAGTTCAGCAGTTGCTACCTGATCAGAAGGCGCGGTCGACTCCTCCAATACCTCAGACAGGTCGGCCCAGTTTCTGGAGTCCTCAGCTACCGGGTCAACAGTCAGTGGAGGATTTTCCTCAACACCTTCTGCTTCGCCAGCCACCTCGGATCCACCCACTGGTGTTGTCTCAGTCGCGCTGTGATCAGCTGCGACCTCTTCCGACCCTTCTGAGGGCATGCACGACGGGAACAGTGAAAGTGCGAAAAGTGTTAGGGCCTAAACAAAGTTTGACGGATTAGGTTCCCCAACCAACAGAAAAACAAGCCTTACGGCTGATAACCAGACAAACAGGGGGTCGGAACAGAAACCCAAAAGAAGGGGAAACTAATCCGCCAAACCCTGTGCATTCAACCAAGCACCTTTTTGCTATTAAGGCACTTGAGCCATCGGGTCAACAGCATGTAACATTAAACCCAACCCAGGTAGTTGTTAGGGATGGTAGTTACATCTGTTTCTACCTAAGGCTATACTACATACTTAACGCATCTAAGTATGAGGTGCAAACTGTACACATTGAGGTGTATCTACTTGGAACTACGTTGGTACTCATAGCTACGGCATGCCTACATAAGACCTACTACCTATGCTATACATAGTGGGGCTCAGGGGTCGGTATATTTCAACTATTATATATAATATATATATAATATATATATATAATATATAATATATATAATATACAATATATATAATATATTATAATCATAGTTCAATAATCTACAAAACTTTGGGAAACTTTCGATTTAAACTTCAACCCAAAGCCCATCATAGCCCGCAAAAAATCCACCAAAAAGCCTCTTCTCTTTCCATTCCGAAGCGGCCACCTGGACCGTGCGGGAAGTCAAGATTGGATCCTGGCTACATCACCCCTGGTTTGTTCGATACATCACCAGTGGTGCCAGAAGTATTGGAGTTGAATGACAACTCTCGTCGCTTTCACCTTTATTTCTTGCTGGCTACAACATGGCCAACCTTTGCCGGTCATTTATGTGTGTATATTTTGTCTCTAATTACATAGTTTTTACATATCTCCGGTCTGGTCGTTCTGGATAAAAACATACTAATAGTTCACTGAGCTGAAATGAGCCTATTTTGGGATAGTTGCCCATATCCTAACCACCCTTTACAGAGACGCCGCGACATGAGGTCGTTCTAGGATGATATCCCCTCATTGATGGTTGTATAAGTTATATATTAATATCCTCATTTTATATTCCCATTATTGTCCCATGTAGAGGGTTTTAACCAACCAATCTCCGTCTTGAAGATTGGAAATGGGCCTGCTGTCGGGACCCCTCCTCCTCGCTCCCTGACGAATCCTCGGGGCAGCACATGGGGATGTCTAAAACCCCCACTTATGGTCATTTATATGGATTGTTTGTTTCAGTATATATATATATAATATATAATATAATATATATAATTTATATACTATAATTATTGGAATGAGATGGAATATGTGTCAGTGTCCGTCACAAAAAATGTTTTGAACATATGGAACAATGATGAAAAATGATGGTAATCCAATAGTTAATTGAGGATACCCTTTTCAGACAAACCCACAGGGATTCCAACTGGCCGAAAGCCCAGCCCCTAGACGGGAACGAACACTTACATGTGGGTGGCTTGCAGCGAAAAACTAGGGTAATCTCTGGCGGCCATCACGATGCCATGCCATAACTGGCTTTGTCTGAAAATCCTAGGGAAAAAACGAATTGAAATGGATGATCATCATATGTTCCCGATTAAAATGGCATAAGAATTAGAGATATACCCCTTTTGCAGACACACGCAACAAGTTCCAAGTTGACCCAGGCATGCTCTTGGTTCCTAAGTATTTCCCGTCTGCTGGATGACGGTCCTATTTAGCTACATTCCCCATTGTAGTAGCTGAAATCACCCTCAAATGTTTTGGTGCCAAACCACGATCGCAAGGTGGTTCCATCATGTCCTATCTATGTTTTGGTTGTTTTTGTTTGGCAAAATCAACCAAATTGTTAGTTCAGAACAACTTACACAGATATTGAACTTAACCACTTTGTGCTGAGTCTAATTCATAGCATGTGTTTCTCATCAGTTTCAAACTACTCTCATCAATTCTCCATATTCTCAATCCTCAACTAATCGAAATATGAAGTCCACAACTATTAAAAAAGAACACTATCAAACATATCATGCATATACGTGGGTATATATCAATAAACCCTCTGGTAATCAAACACGGCAATGAACAGTCATCATTTTTAATCGGAACAAACGTAATCCTCCTATTCAATGGGCCATGGTTTCCCCATCTGTTCAAGGTGTCGAAGTTTTCGATCGTGGCACCAAACATATCTTAACAAACACCTGGATTTCATCATATCCATTTGTCAAGTGTAGATGAGGATATTCTCCGGTGAACAAACGTATAATATAGCTATGGAACATGCACATGAAAATAATCCTCTCGATCGATGATTTACGAAAAGATCTCGTGATATTCCATGGATTCCATGGCAATGTTAGTTTCACTCCAAGTTTGAGCGACAAAAATCGATCGAACTCAGGTGGATGTGCCAGAAATCACCAGAAATCACTGCCTATTTCTGCCGGGTTTTTCTATGGCTTCCCCATGGAACCCTTGCGAAGCCCGGCCAGCCCGGCCACGATCAGAAATCGGTTCAGCTCGTCGGAGAGCTGCCGCGTGGCCTCGCTATCCCTGCGGAGGAAGTCCTGGCGACGGACAAATCCACCGAAGTCTCCGGGTGTCCGAGATTTTCCTATGGAAAATCCACCGAAAATGGAGGTCATCACCCTAAATCCCATAGGATCCATGTATGCTATATATGGTAACATTTAGCATCAATATACCCCAAATGTTAGCATATATACCATACATGGATCCTATGGGAATGGAGGTGAGAAAAAGATGGGAAAATCCACCGAAGTAAAGATAAAGATGTCAAAACCTTCGCGGCGCTATGGAGCTTCAGAATCGCCTCCAGGTTCAACTTAGATTCAGATGCTTCGGAAGCCATCCTTGTCCCTCAGCTTCGTGTCGGAAAATGTTGTATAATGGTCAAATAGTATATTTATAGATCGATATGATATTAATATTATATTATATATATATACTGTATTACACTATAGAATGCTATAGGTCTTGTGCCCCGATGTGTCGCATTTTGAGAACCAAACTTGTACAACCTGGATCCTGTCCGCAGAAGACAGGTGGTTGATGATTTGATGATCCAAGCGCAATCTTCAGAAGAATTGTAGGGTTTTGCCCAATCCCTATCCCAAGACTCATATGAAAAACTAACATGGTTGGTACTCAATTAGAATCCTCCTACGCGACCTAGGTGTGAAAATAGGGCATGTTATTTTCACCGGCATAAGAAATATGATATATCATGATCCTTGGTATGTGTTTGGTGGTCCCTGCCTGCACTAAACCTCCACTGCGGTGTCTGAGCGCTTCTTCGGTGTTGTTGATAACCACCTGGCTTTTCCCTAGCAAGCTGGGATTCTACCAGGCATGGGAAGTTGATGGAAGTTGACCAGCAAAAAAGATCAAAAAAGAAGGTTCTAACCATACAAAGAAAGGATATTCAACCAAGAAGGAATATTCAAGCGGCAAAGATTGAGATGTCATCCATAAACGTGGAGAAAGGAGATTGACATGATTGACGGGTCGGAGACCAAGTAATTATGTTCAGTAGCAACCCAACTTTGGCACTTAGTGACCTGGTGAGGTCGGTTACCTCAAAAAGGATCAACATGTACCTCAAAAAAAGTTGGGATCCTTCGATCATTTCGGGGGGGGGGGGGCCAGCAGTTTCTTGGGACAAACCATAACGAAGATTCGTATAGGACATGGCATGGCATTGCATGGTATGGCATCAAAAAATGATTTGCCGGACAAACTTCCAACATGCCCGTGTTATATCTTGCCAAGCCCGTGTTTGGCTTAAGACTGGTGGGGGGGGGGGTCCGGAGGGGGGGGGGGGGGTGGTGCACGGCAAGGTGCTAAAATTTCAAAAATAGGTGCTCAAATTTAAGGAAATAGGTGTTTTTTTGAAGAAACCGGGTCGGGATCCAGTCGGGACCCAGTCGGGACCCAGTCGGGACCCAATCGGGCACCAATTTTTGCATTTTTGGGCACCGCTTTTGGCCAGTCGGGATCCAGTCGGGATCCAGTCGGGCACCAATTTTCGAATTTTTGGCACCACGTTTGGACCTGTCGGGAAGCAGCCAAAATCACCGAAAAACATGCAAAAACACTGCAAAAATGCTATTTTTTATGAATTTGGCTGCCCGACTCCCGACATCCCGACTGGATCCCGACTGGATCCCGACTGGATCCCGACTGGATCCCGACTGGCCAAAAGCGGTGCCCAAAAATGCAAAAATTGGTGCCCGACTGGGTCCCGACGGGATCCTGACTGGATCCATAGATTGGCAAGAACCCACTCCCGCACCTATTTTTCCCTTCCCAGACCCACCCTTGCCCCTATTTTCCTTTTCCGCGCACCAGCCGTGCACCAATACCCCCCCCCTCCTGCACCAAAACGGTAAAAGCAGTCTTAAGCCAAACGGGGGTTCTACAAGTTATATCAGTGACATTCCTCATTCATAGAATTAAGGATCTCTCGGTGGATTACATACTTCTTCGGACACCCCAAACGCCACCATTCTGATGATATCCTCATGAGTTCTGGTATGTATCCATGTCGGATGGAACAACTCAACTCCCCATGTCGAATCACATGCTTGAAATCCCCATTTCTGCTGCCGGTTCACCCGAATTTTGCCAGATCTCTAAATCCGAAAAATTCAGTCATCATTGTTGCCAGTCAGCTACGAAACAAAAAAAACAATACGCCAAAAAATACACCAAAAAATAATGGTGATTAATGGTGATTAATGGTGATTAATGGTCATTAATGGTGATTAATGGTGATTAATGGTGATTAATGGTGATTAATATGCCAAAAAAACTCTAAATCAGTGAAGTCCCCATGTCTGTTGCATAAGTCCCTTATCATCGCTGGTAAATCCCCCGCCTGGCGCAGCGCCAAGGATGCGCGGCGACGGGTCTTCATCACGGCTACGGGATCATCTGCAGAAGTCTGGGGAATGAGGATTTTTTCTTGGGTTTTGTTGGTGATTGATTCCCAAATTCATATTTGATAATTCATAATTCATATTTGATAATTCATCAACATTGTTGGTGTTTGGCAAATATGAATGAAATGAATTCCCATAAATGTTGATGAATTATCAAATATGAATTATGAATTATGGATAATTATGGGAATTCATCAAATGGGATTTGGACTAAGATCTTGGTTAGACAGTAGTGAGTCTGACTGGTAAAAATAAGTTGTGCGGATCCTCAAGCTCCGGGCCAATGCTATTGAAATCACAAGGGTGTTACCCATGTTTGGTGACATTTCATTGACATTTCTACATTTATGGGGTGTGTCTCAAAGTGGGTGATTTTCCGCATTTTTTGGCATCTTTTCTTCGGGGAAATGCTGATCAAATGTTGTACCCTTGATTTTCGGACAATGGCATCAAGCTATGGGCTAATATTACTGAAAGACCCTATGGTTTGCCCGAAAAGTTACAGTAGAACTGTGCTCAAACATTATCTTTCGACGTGGTCAAAGTCCTGCGCAGGACCAGTAGTTTAGTGCTTCCAACCCTAATCCCAAAAAGTCTAAATCCTAAAACCTTAAACTCTAAACCCTAAAACCCTAAACCCTGAAACCCTAAAGCCCTAAACCTTGAAAACTCTGAGTCCTTAAAAAAAACTGCATAATCGCAGTATTTTCTGCAATCTCTCTTATCATGTTCGACACCAGGGCATCCTCACTGTTGCAGTCCAGGCAAACTACGGGGTCTGTGAGTAACATTAGATGCCCTGAGAAAAGATTCAATTCAAGCATTAAATTATATAATTATAGCTGTTATATATGTAAGATTATGTAAGTATCATAAACTGTAGGTGTTGGACCAGACTTGTACAGAATCACAGGCTTAAATGGTTGCGGTCAAAACCCATTGAATTCTCTTCTGTTCACGCCAAGCGACCATTTGGGGCATCCATTGCAGGGAAATTGAAGTGGCATTGGCTTACCACATTACAAAAACAACCAGCCACCCAGAAGATCGAAAAGTAACATATGTCCCATCAAACCAGTGATACCTTAATATATATATATATATGTATTAGGGACGAATATTTTATATGAATTTGATATATCATGATATATCATAGTTTCATAGTTCTTACTTCTAACTCTACCTATCCACCTGTGCTTTTTGGCATGATAGCGGTGCCAAGTGACTGGGAGCGCCCTGCGTGAGCGCCTTGGACCTCTTGCGCTTGGCTTCTGGTGCTTTTTCGCCCTGGCAGCTGTGAGTCATACCATAGAAATGTCATGAAATGTCCAGGTGTATATAGGATACGGCGAACTGTGATAGACTGTCGTCTTCGATATCTGTAGACTTATCTATATATATATATATAATCATACGTATATATTAATATATATATATACATAACATCATTGTATACCTACATGTCTGATATAAATACTATGAATATAGATATGCGTTTTGCGTATGTGTGTACCCGGTCATTGATGGGTCAAGATTCAAGGCCAGGATGGCCCAGGGCCCATGGCCCATAGGGTTTTTTGGATCCATCCGGTCCCATCCCCTACGAAACATGTTGAAAAATACTCCCAATTTCTGATCCCAATGATATCTGGTTGGTGGTATACCTACCCCTCTGAAAAATATGAGTTCGTCAGTTGGGATGAGTATTCCCAATATATGGAAAAATAAAAAATGTTCCAAACCATCAACCAGATATAATATGTGTCAATCCAATCACTAAATCCTGCCCGAAATATGGGGGCCGCATTTTTTTGCACCGTTGAAATGGGGCCATAAAAAAACACGATAGAATATGATATAATTAGCCGCAACAATGTCGATGTAATACTTCAATATGCTTCAATCTGGAATAGCGTTTGAAGGCTTTCTGACATGTCGAGACAAACGGCTCAACCAGCTCCATTTTGGCACTTGTGACTGACAAATCACTGGAATCACTGGACGTTTTAGTTAATCATCCGATAATCATCCTATGTCCATTTGTGGTACCCAAGTTTGACCACAAAAAGTATGGATATGCGACATCTTCCGGTCTGGAAGGGACACAGCCGGGCATTCTAGGAAGGGCACTCAATCCGTATCGAAGAACTTGGGATGTTTGACGATTGCTAGTCTTGGGCACCCTGCAACATAAATAAAAATAGCTAGTAAAGTAAAATCTTGAGCTGGGTATCACATTCCCAACTGCAAAATTCATGGCAAAAAAATGCGCGGTTAACGGTTAAGTAATTAAGTGACATCAAGTGTTAATTACATTGGTTTGGCTATAACAAAAACTGATGCCCACGGGAAACGTGTCGTCTTTTGCCGCTGAAGCTTCCGCTGAAGCTTCATCCAACTCTTAGGTACCCACTGCTGGTGATGTCATGGCTATACCACATCCATATCCCGATTAATGGAACTCAAAAATGCCAGGCCCCAGGTTTCTGTGGGTTTCTCCCAAATGTTCCCTTCAATCGATTCTGGAAGAAATATATCAAATATATATTCAAATATTATCAGCAAGTCATATGAAGTCTAATCCGCTGCCAGTATCCCCAATTAAACCCTCATCAAAATCATCAAATGTCGGGTTTTGTCTCAACCTTCATCTGTTTTCCCGGAGTTTTCCCTTGTCCCCACCTGTGACAGCCGTCGCAAACGTTCGGCCGGTTGGGAGTGGCTTGGCACATCCATGGCATCACTGTGGGGCCGCTATGGTAGCGGCGAATATAGGTGGATTTGGAGCTGACCAAAGCTATGGTGAGTTTATATATGGTTATATATATATATAATATATATATATGTACGGTTATATTATACCAAAGCTGAACTTAACTTGCTTTATCTTGCTCGGACAAAGCAATGTGTCTCGACGATCATCGATCATGATTGTTGCCTCCATTGGTCCATCATCTCTCTTGACAGAGGAGAATCCTATGTGAGGAAGTTTTTCGGTATCTCTGGATGGGCTGAATTGCTGATCTCCTGAGCCCTGAGGCCATTCACCTCCTTTTTTAAAGGGGAAAAACGGCCTGGAGCCGAAGAGTCCCATTCCGGTAGATCGCAATGTGGCAAAAGAACAAACCTCATTTTGGCACATCTCTGGATCAATGATAATCATTCACCAACCTCAAAAAGTCTGGTTATTTCTGCGGGATAGTTACCCTTTGGTAAACTAACATAGATATGGAAAATCACTATTTTCAATGGGTAAATCCACTATAAATGGCCATGTTCAATAGTTGTGTTCGTTTACCAGAGGGATCCAGAGGGCATAGTGCGAGTCTTCGAGAAACATCTAACTACAGCGAACTTCCCAAGAACGCCGGCGCCCCTTTTTTTCCACACACACCATGGGACCTGCACCGGAACGGGCGAGTCCTGGTGATTTATGACCCGTAACAATTGGGTCAATCTGTGATCTTCTGCTCCTTCAAAGCCGAATGAATATGTGTTTACCTTTGGGCCATTTGGGGGTTCGAAGTTCATATAATCACCATTGGATTTCACCTGGTGCCAAATCGTATGTTTGAAAAAGAATCATATGAACCCTTTGAATTTGATGGTTTTGTTTGATGTTTTTTTTTGCTGCTCAAATCCCAATTCGTGTGTGGTTCAATCCCGTGTTGTATCATGGATAACGTGATAATCCCCAATTATTATCAATGCTAGATCAATGACACCTGAACTAATCATCAAGAAACCATCAAAAATTATTTCCCCATACGTTGATGTTTCAAACCCCTACAATGCCTATAAATGATGGATTTTAATCATGTTTTGTCATCTAATATTGCGGTCAGTGTGCATCCCACCAAACGAAACTCCTCTCACCTCACCAGCTCGTAGGCTGCGGGCTCACCTTCCGCAGTTCCCTTGGGTCTTTGATGTGGACCAATACATGTATGTATCTATATATATACATATATACACACAATACTTTTTGTGTATGGATATGATGTGTGTATATATACATCTATATGTATATGTCTACCGTATATACACATATACACATATACACATATACACATGTACACTATATATGTATATAGGTATATATGTATGTATATATGTAATTTACATGTATGTATGTATATATATGTATGTATACATGTATCTGTATGTGTATATATGCATATATATATGTATATATATGTATATATGTATATATGTATATATTGTGAAACTTCCACAGTTTATTGTCAGCTTGACGGTTGGACCTCAGCTGCCATCTTGGCAGTCCTTGTTTTCCCATGGTCTTACATGTCAGGGAGGTTGTTTACCATTTGCACCTTGGCCGCAACTATTGGTTCACCTCCAGCGGTGGGCAGCGGTGCGGATTGAGCCATTGGTGGGAAAACAGCATACGGTGTTTGCTGGTGGTGGCTGCTGTTGAAGCGAGGCTGCTTCGCATTGGCAGCGGAGCCTGCGGGCTGGCGCTGGAGGAGGACTTCCAGAAGGAAAACTTGGTTGAGAAGGGCAAGTACCTGGTGAGGCGACTGGGTAGTGAAAATAAAGGTGGTAGCGTCTTGGGAAGGTGCAAGACGGGGCTGAGGGTCAGCCTGGAGGAAGTGTGGAAGAGAAGACGAGCAACTTGTGGAGCTTGTTGCCGAGTTTCGACCCTAGCGTTGATAGCGCTAAAGAGTATGCAGACAAGGTGAAGTTTCTCTGGGGCATATGCCCTGTGAAGGATAGAAGTATGTTGGCACCAAGGTTGGCATTGCAGTGCAAAGGGACTGCATGGAGTCAGGTGAGAGCCATTGATGCTTCGAAGTTGACAAACCCTGAGACTGGCTACAAGGTACTGTTGAAAGCCTTAGAGACTTGGGAGGATGCCGAGGAACTTCAGACCTTTGACAAGTTTGAGAAGGCGTTCTACCGGGTGGTCCAAAAGACAGACGAGTCAGCGATGTCGTTTGTCAATCGAATCAATGTTGCTTTCGAAGAAGTGGGCTCTGAAACAACCGTCCAACAAGTTCGAGTCTTCGTGATGTTGAGACAGAGTGCCTTGACTGTGGAGGACAAGAAGCGTGTGGTATCTATGGCGGGCAACTATGATCCGTCGGCTGTGGAAAAGGCAATGAGGTCCCTGTCGACCAAAGTGCTTGGGCAGACTGATGCTGGACGCAAAAAGGTGTACCCAGCCAACTTTGTGGAAGAGGAGTTGGATGAAATACACTATGCAGCTGAAGAAGAATGTGATGAAGAGCAAGCCTTAGCCATGCTCATCGATGAAGGTGATGAGACAGCCCTTGCCATACAGGAGTTCGAGGATCAGGTGATCCATGTCTGTCAGGAATCACCTGAACTGGCCATGGCTTTCTCCACGTACCAGGAGGCACGACAGAAGCTTCGAGACAAGTTTCGCAGCAGAGGGTTTTGGCCCCTTCGTCATGGAAAAGGGAAAGGCAAGAACAAGTCAAAGAAGGGCAAAGGCCCCAGAAAGTATAAAAGTCTTGCAGAGCGCATAGCAAGCTCTACCTGTCGTGCCTGTGGAGCACGAGGCCACTGGAAGGATGAGTGCCCGCTGAAGGACAAGAATGTGACTGCAGATGCGAACGTGATCCTCACGGAAGAGCTCTCAGGGGGTGGTGAACTTCTTGATGAACTTCCTGGCCATGATCTTGCCAATTGGCAGGTGGGGATGTGTTCAAAAGTTTGGTTGCCCACGATGGTGCCACCTGAGTACCATGTTGGTAATGAAGAATTCAGTTTAATAGGTTCCCATGAAATGATTTTGCATGCGATCAACATTCCCAAAGGGAAGTCATGTTGTGAAAAGAGTTTGAAATATTTTCCCAAACTGAAAGAAATGTTTCGTCGAGCAATTGAGACAAGCTTCAGTGTCACTGGCAGGTCCCCTGAGTCAACTGAGGAAAGTAGGAATGGCAGCTTAGGTGACTCAGGCACTGGGATCATAGACACCGGTGCAAGCAAGTCCGTGATCGGCGAAAAGCGAGTGAGTGCACTTTTGTCTACTTTGAAGGCAGAACACCGTGAGATGGTTAAGTGGAAGGAATCTGAAACCGTTTTTAGATTTGGTAACAATGGTGTTTTGAAGAGTGTTGGTGCGCTGTTTGTACCGTTTGGGAAACAATGGATGAAAATTGAAGTGGTTCAAGGAACCACGCCTTTCCTCATTTCAAATGCCTTTCTTCATGCACTTGGCGCAGATGTTCTGGTGAGTAAATCCTGTTTGGAAGTGTCCTCTTGGGGAAAATCCGTGACACTCACCAGAAATGCCAAGGGGCTGTTTATTGTCAAGTTGTCAGACTTGATTGATGCGGCTAGCATGAGAAGTAATTCAGAAAAGTTTGAGGAAGTCATCACTTTGGCAAGTAGTAGAACTGAAAATCGAAGTAGGGAGGTTTACTGCACACACAAGCAGCAGCAGCAGCCAAACACAATGTCAAGTACATCGTCGACGACTGCTACAGCTGCTGTGGCTCAACCTCAAGTTGACAGAGAACCAGATCAGCTTCAAAGTCAGTCCGCTCTTTCTCAAGCTGACAGCCATGGCTCTTCCAAGTGCCTCGGGAACGCAATTTCCGGGACTCCAGACAGAGATGCTAGATGCGATGCTGTCCGGAGAAGTGGATGCCTCTCTGGCCTTCGAAGATCGACAACTACCAGAGATCAAAAGTCGTCGCCCTCCAGGTGTGATGACCTTGAGGGAGTGGGGTCAGTTGAAGTTCCCGGAAGGGAAGTGGCGTCACAAGTCCTTCTTTCCGGCATACCAGGAGGACCCAAAGTACGGCAAGTTCATGAAGGAGCACAGGAAACTGGTGTCAGCTTGGGCACTGAGTTTTCAGGCTTACGTGGAAGCCATGGACAGGATGCAGGAAGATTGCTCGAAGGCCTTCTACCAGGAGTATGCCAGACAGTGGGCCAAAGCCGAGATGTCCAAGATGTATCCGAAGGCAGAGATCGAGAAGAGTCAAGGACCAGAGTGGGAGCTGTTGACCGGAGGGGTGTCATCGCGTCCAATGAGCACGATGTCATCACCAAGTCAGAAGCACCCCATGGAAGAAGAGCAGTCGCAGATGGCGATCGAGGTGCGGCAGATAGAGGAGAAGATCACTCGCATGGCGATCTTGCAGCGCGAGATGGACAAGATCAAGGCCGACTTGGAGGGAGTCTGAATGAGAGGTCTAGCGCAGAGCAACTCGAGACAGATCAGCAATTGACCAACCAATTGCTCAAAAAGATTGAACTAGCAATGGGAACAATTGAAGCAGAGCTGACCTGTCTTCAAAAGATATGGCCGACGCTGACCGACTCTCAGACTTTCCAGAAGTTTGGAAGTGATCTTCTGGAGATCTATTGTGAAGAACATTCTCAAATCACAGAACAAGCTTGTAAGCTGGGATTGAAGGCCAGAAGATTCACTTTCAGTGATGGAGATCTTTCTACACCAGAAGGTCAAGCTGCGCTTTGGAAAGTCTTGGAGGAAGAGCGACCGAGAGAAGTCTGGATGGCACCAGAATGCAAATATTGGGGCAACTTCAGTCGCAGAAACATGGGCAGGAGCAAAAGCACAGAACAAATGATTTTAGAGGGTCGCAAGAAGCAACGTGTTCATTTGAAGCTTTGTAATGATGTTTATTGGTATCAGATGGATTGTGGTGGTCAATTTCATTTGGAACAACCCCAAGGGTCGGAATTGATTTATCAACCGGAAGTCTATGATATTTACTGTGGGACCCTGTGTACTGTTTTTGATATGTGTGAAGTTGGAAAACTACTTGCCCCACATGTGATGCGACGAGTGTCTGGAAACAATTTCCTAAGGAAAAGGACGCATGTCTACACTTCCTCAAAGATTTTCCATGATGCATTTGACCACCGATTGTGTCCTGGGCATCATAAGCATGCTCCAATTGCTGGCAAGATCTATCATTTGGGTCGGTGGATTTCTCTCTCGGAATATGCTGCAAGGTACACCTCCGGTTTTGGTAGGAATGTGGCAAGGTATGTTTCCTGTAGGTTTGATGAGAAGCCACTGGTTTTGGATGAGTTGCATGTTTGTGATGTTGATGAAGCTTTTGTTGCAGGAGTTGTCAAAAGAAAAAGAGTGTCCGCTGAAGCAGTTCCAGAGAGCTTAGAAGAGCCGGTTTCAGCAGAAGTGAAGCGTCCAAGGTATCACTGCAAACAGACACCAGCAGGTGACCACGGATGTGCAGCCGGTGAATATTGGGATGGCATTTTTAAGAAAATTGAAACCATGGTTCCACGGGTAGGCAAACGTGTTTTGGATGATGATGGGGTTTTAGCTCAGATTCAGAAGGGGGCCCCAAACTTGAAGGTTCAGAGGGTTGAAGCCTGTAGGGGAACTGAGAGGTTGCGCCTTCCTGGAGCTGATGCGGACCCAGAAACCATCCCGTTGAGATTGACCGTGGTCAAAGACCGCATCACGGGTCAGTCAATGGTACTTGGCCCAGCTGAGGAATGGGCTGCTCTGCCAAAAAGGCAGCAAATTCGAAAGGGTCAATCTGCAAAGATGAGCCTCACCATTTTTGGAAGTTTTCCAAAGTCAGGAGAGCTTGAGACAATGGGGTCTGATAAGGAAGCAGGTACTGGGGATGATGGTGAAGATGTTGTTGTGGTAAGTAAAGACCCTCCCAAGAATGTTCCGGTTCATGGACCAGGGTACATGTTGTTGAATGGTGATGAAAAGGCTCAGATTCGAAGGTTGCATCACAACTTAGGCCATCCACATCCACAGAAGTTTGCCTGGTTTTTGAAGGAAAGGCATGCGGAACCTCATTTGGTTCAAGGAGCTCTGGACTATCAGTGCGACAGTTGTGCGGAAACAAAAGCTGGTCCAGACTCCACCCGTCCTGGCACAATTCATGAGAATCTGGGATTCAATCAAGTGATTGGTATGGACACTGCTGTATGGACTAATAGTGTTGGTAAGAACTTTCAGTTTTCTCATATCATTGATGAAGGGACTTTGTTTCATGTTGGGTCTCATGTTGTCAGTGCGGACACAGATTCTCAAATACGAGTCTTTGAGAAATGTTGGATGTTATGGGCTGGCACTCCACAAGTTGTGTATGTTGACCCTGGCACGGAATATACGGCAGAAGCATGGCAGGACAGAATGCAACGGCATGACATCCATGTCAAAGTCAGTGCAAGTGAAGCACACTGGCAACTGGGGAGAGTGGAAATTCACGGATCAGTTGTGAAGAAGATGTTGAGTCGCATGGATTTGGAGTCACCAATAAAATCGGTTGGGGAGTTTGAGCAGGCTTTGGTTCATGTGTTCAATGCCAAGAACAGTTTATCCAGAGTGAAGGAATACTCTCCCGAACAAGCTGTCCTTGGAATTGCCAAAAGATTGCCTGGGTCCGTTGTCTCTAGTCAGGGGGTAGGAAGTATAACTCTGGCTGAAGGGACTGGTCCCGAGAGCGAAGCCTTTCGAGCCAGTCTGGAAAGACGCAGCAGTGCACGCAGAGCTTTCATAGAAGCTGATAATTCATCCAGTCTTCGTCGTGCGCTTTTGAGGCGGACTCGGCCAATGCGAGGACCCTTTGAAATAGGAGATCTTGTGTTGTATTGGCGTAGGAGGGGTGCCAATCTACGTAGAGATCGTGGTCGCTGGTATGGGCCAGGGAGTGTTGTTGCAGTCGAAGGGTCCAAGAATGTTTGGTTGAATCATGCTGGAAAGCTAGCGCGCACGAGCCCTGAGCAACTTCGTGCAGCCAGTTTTCGGGAGTGGAAGCAGGCCAAAGAGTTGCTCACAGAGTCTGGCCCAGGGAACTCAGATTTACAGAGAGCCCTTAATGATGGCAGTTTCATTGATGTAGATGGGGAGGATTTGCCTGACCGGGAAGCTGAAACAGAGGGATATGACCCATCAATTGGGGAGCCCGAAGGAGAGTTGTCAGTTCAGCCACCTGGGACACCTAATGGGGAGTTGAGCAATCAGTCTGAACCGCCTCAAGGAGTGGAACAGTCAGAGAATGAACTCCCTGATTACGTGCGTGTGCCGGTTCCAGAAAGTGTCAGTGAGTCCGATGGTGATGCCTCACAGGCGGGCGTCAATCTTGAACCAACGGATGACCTTCTGTTTGGAGATGACATCACCATGTCTGCAGATGATAGGTGTTGCCAGTTCTGGGAGATTGAAATTCCTGTTGAAAACCATGAAGAGCATGCACTGTTTTGCGCTGGATCAGCAGATGAAAGTGTGTTGTTGGTGACTGGAGCAAAGAAGAAACGAGTTGAAGTCCGTTTGAGTGATTTAAGCAGTGCTGACCAACAGCGCATGGCGGTGGCCAAGCACAAAGAAATAGGCGCCTGGCTCAAACATGGAACTGTGAGAAAAGCATCCAAAGGAAAAATTCCTGAGGAAGCAATCATGCGCTGCCGATGGCTGCTCACCTGGAAATCAGCCTCACCTGAGGATCACCCCAAGGATGTGAGTGAGGGTCGTAAGGCAAAGGCCCGGTTGATTGTTGTTGGATACGAGGATCCTGGAGTAGGGGTGGTTCAAAATGATTCACCCACACTCACCAAAGATGGAAGACAGATGGTGGTGCAACAGGCGAGTAGTCATGGTTGGGAACTAGTTTCCTTCGATGTCTCAACTGCCTTTCTTCAAGGCGAAGGAGACGGCCGCTTGCTTGGTTTGTATCCCACCCCAGAGTTAACAGAAGCCCTTGGGTTGGAACCTGGTGATCAGTGTCAATTGGTAGGTAGTGCGTATGGTCGTGTTGATGCTCCTTATTTGTGGTATTGTAAGTTTCGTGACTCGTTGTTGCAAGAAGGTTTTTAACAGTGTCCTTTTGATCCTTGTGTTTTTACTCTTGTTTCTGTTGATGAAAAGGGGAAAGAAAGAGTTCATGGTTCCCTAGGGGTTCATGTCGATGATGGCATTGGGGGTGGGGACAACATGTTTATGGCAGCCTTGGAAAGAGTCAGAAAGCGTTTCAGTTTTGGATCATTTGAAAAAGGGTCCTTTGTCTTCACTGGCATAAGGTTTCAGCAGTGGGATGATGGCAGTGTGGAGTATGATCAGATTGACTATATAGAGATGATTAGGCCAATTGAAATCCCAGTGCTGAGCCCGAGTGAAGTGACGCAGTTGCGAAGTCTTGTTGGAGCTCTGCAATATGCAGCCGTCCATACCCGTCCCGACATTGCGGCCAAAGTTGGAGAGATCCAAAGTAGGGTGGCAAAGGCAACAGTCGATGACATGATTTTTGCAAATCGAGTGTTGCATGAGGCAAAGGTTCACCCTGTGACTTTAATGACATTGCCGATTGCCCCTGAACAAGTGACTTTCTGTGCCTTCTCCGATGCCTCGTTCCTTTCAGGAAAAGAGAAATATGCCCATCAGGGAGGTTTGATTTTTGTCACGACTCCAGAGTTGCTGGAGAACAAGAGATCAGTGGTAGCACCAGTAGCTTGGATGAGCAAGAAAATTCAACGGGTGACGAGGAGCACCTTGGGGGCTGAAGCAGTGGCATTGAGTGGGAATGTTGATCGTTTGTTGTGGTTGAGGATTTTGTGGCAGTGGTTGAATAACCCCTCAATTGAATGGCAGTCCCCCGAGAAAGTGTTGCACGAAGCCCGACGAGCTGCTCTTGTGACCGACTGTAAGAGTGCCTATGACCTTCTGACTCGCACGGCCGTTCCACAGTGTGAGGAGCATAGGACCACCATTGAGTGTTTGCTCATCAGAGAAAGATTGCAGGCCAATTGCGTAGTGAGATGGGTTACATCAAATGCTCAGCTTGCAGATTGTTTGACAAAGAGCATGGATGCAAGCGTTTTGCGACAGTGTTTGAAGAGTGGTCGGTATTCTTTGTTTGATGAAAATCGAGTGTTGCAACAGAGATCTGACAAGCGACAGCGTTTGAAATGGGCCAAAGAAGTGACGTCCAAGTCTCCAGAAAATGAGACAGTTTTGAAATGTACAGAAGAAGTCCGGCAGGACACATGGGAACAGGACTCAAGTGGCCAGGTTATCCGCGTACATGTCCCAAGATATCAGTTGTTTTCTCCTGTAGGAATTCTGGATTGTCCTGTTGATCTTAGAACCTTGGGGTTGGAGAGAGTAACTCGTGGTTGTGATTCGAACGGACATAGATGGTACAATAAGGATTTTTGGCCTGGCACGAGAGGACATGCAAAGATGTCAAACCTCTGGACAGGCAAGACCATTTTTAAAGTAAGGGGTGTGTGAAACTTCCACAGTTTATTGTCAGCTTGACAGTTGGACCTCAGCTGCCATCTTGGCAGTCCTTGTTTTCCCATGGTCTTACATGTCAGGGAGGTTGTTTACCATTTGCACCTTGGCTGCAACTATTGGTTCACCTCCAGCGGTGGGCAGCGGTGCGGATTGAGCCATTGGTGGGAAAACAGCATACGGTGTTTGCTGGTGGTGGCTGCTGTTGAAGCGAGGCTGCTTCGCAATATATGTATATTTATATATGTATATATGTATATATGTATAAATGTATATATGTATATATGTGTATATATATATATGTATATATGTATATATGTATATGTGTGTGCATGTATATATGTATATGTGTGTATGTGTGTATGTCTATATGTATATATGTATAAATGTATATATGTATATATGTATATATGTATATATATATATATGTATATATATATGTATATATATGTATATATATGTATATATATGTATATATGTATATGTATATATGTATATATGTATTTATGTATATATGTATATATGTATCTATGTATATGTATATATGTATATATGTATTTATGTATATATGTATATATGTATCTATGTATATATGTATATATGTAAATATGTATATATGTATATATGTATACATGTATACATGTATTCCTTGTATGTATGTATGTATGTATGTATGTATGTATGTATGTATGTATGTATTTATGTATGTATGTATGTATGTATGTTTGTATGTATATGTGTATATGTGTATATGTGTATATGTATTTATGTATATGTATATGTATATAAACATATATATTACATACATAGATATAAACATGTATATTATTTATGTATATATATATTTAGAAACATATACATATATATATATATATTTACATACTATAAACATATATCATATAAACATATATATATATAAACATAATGATTGATATATAGAGATGCATCCAAAAATGAACGAGGCAGGCTCTTTCTGGACCAGCTACCTGATCATACCACCTGGAGCTGGAGATAGAGCTGGATAGAGGAGAATCTAATTGCAGGCTATCTAGATACTATATAACATATATACTATCTGTAGACTATCTGTAGACTATCTATCTCCTATATATTGTCTATGTCTATATACTATCTGTGTACTATATACTACAAACATTCTACAAACATCTACAAACTATATATAATTATATATATATGCACTAAAGATACAGCTGCCAAAAACCGAAACAAGCTTTCGCTACTCTGCCTCTGCCAGCAGCCGCAACTCGGTTTGGAAGCCCTAGCACTGCTGTGGAACGATGGCCACGTCCCAGGAATCCATGAGATCCCCGAACTAAGTGGAGGTTTATAGCTGGAAAAATCATCGAACTAAATGGTGGATATACCCTGTGGTAATCTAACGAGCAATCTAACATAGATATGGAAAATGGATGAAGATGTTTTTCCCAAATTAGTGAGTAGATATATAGAAATCAAGACAAGTAAAATAAAAATAACACATCATTTTTACCCGGTTGTATACGGAATATCCCCAAGATTTTGTCTGGGTTGTAACTGGGTTATGACTGGGTCATAGCTGGGTTGTAATGGCAACTGAGCTATGACTAGTTTAAAACCAAATCTTTGTACATACATGTATGAAATATCACCTTGGAGGGTATCCCAGCAGATAGATGAAAACCCGATCTGTTCCTGTCATGGATGGATACCATCGAAAAAACCTCACTTCCGGCCGTCCATCTCTCTCACCATTCGTAGGATAAATCAATGTAGGTTAATATGATTCACCAACCTGACATAAGGACATTTGGGGATGATTCCCCTTATTAAACATCATCAAAGGTGATGTCGCAGGAAGATGCAGGAAGGCCATTGGGGTCTCTCTTGAAATATATAAGCCCTATGGTCTCATGACATTCCCATTGAATACAAGACTTCTGGGTTATATACCCACCAAACCCCCAATACTTGCTGGTGCTAAACGTAGGGAATGCGGAACTAATCCATAACTATTTTCACAATCATCCCATTCCCCCATTCCCACCTAAGCACCTGTAAGAATACACTTGGTGATATCCATAAGGGGTCAAAATTGGGTACCCCATTTTTTGTCTCGTTTATAGTAAAAGTGACTAAAACCTACTGGCCCTTTGGCTTCAAGTTTTGGCTCATAGCCATATCAATAATGGGAAGGTCCTCCACTGTCTGCTTCGCCTGCTTCACCGCGTCCCGCTCATTCTCTCGGCTGGTACGCTGCTCCGCGCTGCGCTGCCACCTTGGCAGTGGCGGGGTACAGCGGATGAGGCTGAGGTGCATGGCTTTGCTTTAAAGGAATATTTACAGGTTTTTCTGCTGTGAGCATGTGGTTTTTCTGGAATCTTGCCCTCTTCATTCAATTCTGAGAGTGGTGAAAAAACTTGTTTCGTCGCTGATACCACCATTGTGCTGGGGAAAGCAGCATTTGGTCGAAAAAAACACAAGTTTCATTTTCGTAGACACCTATGATATATGTGTCCCTTAGCACCTCGAGATTGTTTCAACCAAAAAACAAATTGTCTTGGACTGGAAGCGTATAATAAGTATGTATTAGTATGTATATACATATATCTGTGATATGATATATTATGATATGATATGATATGTAATGTAATCGATGTATATATACATATGTATGTATACATATGTATGTATACATATGTATGTATACATATGTATGTATACATTAGTATGTATATGTATAAATGTATGTGTATCTATATATATATGTATACATATAAATGTAAATATGTATCTATGTGTATCTGTATATATTTATATATGTATACATACGTATATATGTATAGATGTATAGATGTATAGATGTATAGATGTATAGGTGTACAGATGTATAGATGTATATATGTATATGTATATATATATATGTGTATAGACGTGTATATGTATATATGTATATATGTATGTAAGTATATAAGTATACATGTATATATATATATATGTATATATGTATAGACGTATATATGTATAGATGTATAGATGCATAGATGCATGGATGCGTAGATGTATACATGTATACATGTATAAATGTATATATGTATAAATGTATATATGTAAATATGTATATATGTATATATGTACATATGTATATATGTATATGTATATATGTATACATGTATATATGTATATATAAATATGTAAATATGAAAATATATTTTTATACGTATATATGTAAATATATTTTTATATGTATATATGTATATATGTATATATGTATATATGTATATATGTATATATGCATATATGTATATATGTATATATGTATATGTTTATGTATATAGGCATGGGTATCTATGTTTGTATGTGTGTATGTATGTGTGTATGTGTATGTATGTGTGTATGTGTATGTATGTATGTATGTATGTGTATGTATGTATGTGTATGTTTGTGTATGTTTGTGTATGTATGTATGTATGTTTGTATGTATGTATGTGTGTATGTATGTATGTATGTATGTATGTATGTATCTATCTATGTATCTATGTATCTATGTATCTATGTATCTATGTATCTATGTATCTATGTATGTATGTATGTATGTATGGATGCATGCATGCATGCATGCATGTATGTATGTGTCTATGTATCTATGTATCTATGTATGTATGTATGTATGTATGGATGCATGCATGCATGCATGCATGTATGTGTCTATGTATCTATGTATCTATGTATCTATCTATGTATCTATGTATCTATGTATCTATGTATCTATGTATCTATGTATCTATGCATGTATGCATGCATGCATGCATGTATGTATGTATGCATGTATATAGGTATATCTGTATATATGGATATATGTATATATGTATATAATATACGTATATATGTATACAGTATATAGGTATATCTGTATATATGGATATATATATATATATGTAGATATATATATATGTGTGTGTATGTGTATATATATACACGTTTATTATACTTGTGAAGAAAAAGAGAGAGAGAGTGGAAACCTCGGGTGGATGACAAAGTTGGGAATCTGGAAGTTGCGATATAAAGATCCTGCACAACAGCTTGGAAGAAGTGTTCTATCATGTTCTATCTAGTTCGGGGTTCTTAATTGCACAAGTTCGCAGCCTCAAACACTGTTGGTCAAGTGCAATGGCACGTTTTCAACTCCAGGTTTTCACCGTAGAGCAACTTGTGTTCCAAAAAAACAAGTTAGAAATTATGTGTTCCATTGCTGGCTCTGATTTTTCGTGGCGAAATCTGGAAATGTGTATGGTTCAATGTTGATATTTAAATCCTATCTTCCAGGATCCCAAAGAAGAAAACTGTTCTGCAACCACCCAGAACTTGCTGGTGTCCCGGGTCTCCCAACTCCCGGAGCAAGCGATCACCAACACGTTGCAGGGCCGAAAAGGAACCGCTGACGCAATGGACCTAGGGCGATCAGAGGGGAGACATCACCAAGCAAAATGTGGAGTTAAGCAGCAACATGCTGGGATTTATCCAGCAAAAAAAACCTTGGATTTATACACTAGAATTAGATTTGGAGGGAGCCAATGAGTATTGGCGATGGACCTGCACAAAACGGGGTTAAGCAACACACAAAATGGATTTAACCAGCAAAATTTGGGGCTTTGCCAACAACAAAATCAATGGTTTCACCGTTTCACCATTTGTCAACAGGTTCTGATCCATCCCAATTGCGTCGTTGACAATGTCCTATCTCAATCGACAAATGGATCGCTATAACCAATGGATCAACTGGCCAGACCAACTGATACATGGGCGTGAAAATGGTGCCCCAATCCCCCATTTTTATCATGTCAATGTGGAACATGACATGACCGAAACTGTTGGATTTTGGGGTAGCCAATTTCATGTTTCATTTAAAAAAATATGGATACCCTCTGGTAATTTAACATAGCTATTGAAAATGGCCATTTATAGTGGATTTTCCCACTGAAACTGGTGATTTTCCATAGTTATGTTAGTTTACCAAAGGGTAGCTAAAGCATGCTAGAGCTCTTTGGCGTGCTCCCTCCGTTCACCATTTCCGGGATTTTCGCCAAGAGCCCACCTGCAGCTGGACCGAGACTCCAGCCACGATGGACCTGGTGGTTCCCGCCATGGTGATTTGATGTGAAACATGAAACCAAGAACTTGAGCATCATCCAGAGATTGAGCCAGCAGAAATGGTGATTAGATATGATGAAATGATGAAACCCAGAAGTTGAGCATCTTATCATAATCCGAACCCTCAACACTGGTGGATTGAGGAACGGAAATGGTGATTGAAGCAATACAAATGTGATATTGAATGTTTAAGCAATAAAAAATCAAATTTAACCTGCAAAACTAATTATCTAACTGATTAAAAATTGTCTTTTCAGCAACAAGAATAAAATGAAGATTGACCTCATCAAAAAGCAGGAGGTTGAGCGTTGGTTAAGCAATGTGGCTAGCAAAAGCTGGAACTGGAACTTAAACAAACTGGGTATATCCCACATTTACCTTCACAAGAATATGTAACATCTAACCATCAAGAATCGGAAGGTAACCCAATTTTGAATAGAATGATGTCAATGATCTGAATCCAACATCTGGATGGAAGCTGAAAAATGAAATGTGGTGAGTATCTATAAATTCTCACAATGGAGTGGAATGATCCACACAAATGATGGTCTTAGAACTCTGCATATATAGTACAGAATCAAAGTTGGGGTCCCGTAAACCTCTGGTTTCTCGATTGAAAATAAGAGAGTTTGGATGATTTTGGGGTCCCCATTTCATGAAACCCTGCATGCAAGCATCAGCCACCAGGAAAGAAATGGGCAAATAAGAACAAAGATTCTTGATGATGGATGGACCAAGTTCAGAAATTGGGAAACTCTTTTCTTGCGACGTTGGCAAGTTTCATCGGTATCTTCCAATTCTACCGCTAAACCATCCTTCTTTGGGGACCCCTTGAGATGCCGAAAACTCATATGTGGATACTATAAATAAACATACAAACATACAACAAGATGGGGGTTTCCTGGAATACGCCAAAATGGATGGTTTATAAGGGAAAATCCTATTAAAATGGATGATTTAGGGGTACCCCCATGTCAGGAAACCTCCATATATATACATCTAAATGACACGCTTTGTTCTGTTGATATTCTATCCCTACCTCTTGCCTCTTTGGTTCGGTTTCTCATCACCGTTCCAGGTGAAATCCGTTTTCAAGGTCAGCTCCCCGACTTTCCTGGTTCTAGGCCTGACCCTGTTTGGTACATGTAAATTTAGCTGTGAAAAAGCCACCAGAAATGTAGAGATCAGTTTTCCTTTTGTTAGCTGTTAACTCACTGGACATGAAAATCCCCAAGACACTCGTCCCAAGCCCTGACGGCTTCCGAAACTCGCTCCAAGACACAGAAGCGTCAAGCTGCTCCGAAGCTGATCCGACAGCCGCGTGTGAATGCGGAGGATGCCAAGATGCACCTGGAGAGTCGCCAGTTCAGTAAATTGGAGGCACCTACCACATATAGGGTCGATGCAAGGGCTATGTATGGGGGAGATATACCTTCAGTTCATATGGCTTTATGTGCAAAATCACCGTTTCTGTTGGTTAAAATGTCCATCTATGTTGGTTCAAACCACCATTTATGTTGGTTTAAATCCCCATCTATCTTAAAAAACAAGGTCCGTTGGTTAAAAAAATAAAACCCCAATCTGTTGGTCAAAATCATTGTCTGCTGATCTAGCATCTCAATAGATCTCCATCTTGCCAGAAGCTCCCAGTTCTCTAGTCCATCCCAAGGTCCATCCCAAGGCACAGTGGGGCTGAAGTACAGTAAACGCAAACTGGCCTGGGTCCAACGGTCGGCTGGAAAATGCTGAAAAAAACATTTAAAAAAACCATAGGGGGATGCGGCTGGATGGAGAAAAAAAAAGCGACTTCTTCACATCATATGGTCTACTTATATAATCTACTTGTCATGTCTCACCATTTTTTGGTTTACGCATCATTGGTACGAAGCAAGTTGCGCATCCAAAGTTGGAACTAGAAATCAGACCCCCACGAAGGTGTTCAATTTGTTACCCCTCAACCTGAGCTATCAAAACCCATGGAATGCCTTTCTGTTCACCCCAAAATAGCTGCTTCGATTTATGGATGGAAAATCATAGGCTTTGACCCATCCCCAGTTTATTGTTATTTATGGATTATAACAAATCATGTTTATGGATTATGGAAAATCCCCAAATTCCATCATTCCATCTTCCAGTTTTCTGAGTGATTAGACAAAGCATGTCTAACAGCCTTGCTGCACCCACAGATGTAGCGGACGGTCATCACATCACATTTTGGGGGTCCTGGTGGGAACCCATGGGTGTCTAGACCATCCCCCATAGGGAATCCAAGGGTGTCCCATGATGCCACCGAGATGGGCCCCCCAAAAAACACCAATGGATCCATCGCTATAAATGGATGATATTCCCCTCAAAAATTGTATATCCTTATTTTGTTGCGAGTTACATCTGTTTGCTGGCGAAATCGAGTAAAATCCACATGTTTGCCATGTTTGCTAGTTCAAGCCACATTTTTGCTGCTTGACCGCCCATTTTTGGAAACATCGCGCCTGCGCTTCCGCCACTTGACCCCAATCTGCCTCGAAGGCCTGACGAAATGGGTGTTTCCGTCATTGGGGTACCCCCAAATCATTCATTTTCTGGTTGGTGGTTTCAACCCCTCTGAAAAATATTAGTCAATGGGAAGGATTATTCCATATATTATGGAAAATAAAAAATGTTTGAAACCACCAACCAGTTTTTGTTTTTTGGATTTTCCATGAAATAATTAAACCATCCAGCCGTTGCGATACACAAGTTGGGAAATCCAAAATGACAAACTTGATGGTTAAAATCCCATTTCTATGATTTCTGAAGTGGTATTTTGCTTTTTTTGATGTGACAAAACTTGGGATTTTGAACAACGAACGGGAGATAAAGCCTCGGTCACTCTAATCCTGGCATCTGGCTCCAAGGGAATGGGCCATCTGGGTAAAAAAGTGTCAACAGACCCTAGCCATTTCTTAACTTCAAGAAATGGAGAAGGATGAGAAGGACTTGGAATGGGAGAAATTGATGTAGATAGAAATATGTAAAACAATGCATGAAAATGCTATGTTGTTTCCCTCTGCTACCCTTTGTTTACTGACTATCAATCGATCTTCGTAGCCCGCCTCTCGAATGGCTCGAAGCAGCTCTCCATCATCGACCTGATGGCATGGGTCAAAACTGTGGTAGCCTCGTGAACCCCAAAAAGTTGGTAAATGGATGTTCATTCCAAATACGGTTCCGGTTTTAGATACCTTTAGCCCATCCCCAGCGATGTACATCCCCTTGGGCCGCCTGGGACCCCTTCCATCCCAGGAATCATCAATTATCTAAGGACTGATACTGATATTCAACTGGGGATACAAGTAACTTGCTGCCGTGAATGTCACCCTCCGGTAATTTAAGATAATTATTGAAATTGGCCCAAGTATAGATTATTTACCTACTAAAAACGTAATCTTCTGTAGCTATATTAAATTCCCAGAGGGCAGCCGGAGACCTATGGCACGTACCCGGCCACTGCTGGGCAGCACTTCGAAGAGGAGGAACCTCGTTTACGGCAGGGGGTTCATCCACTGTCGTTACCCTTCAGCAATCAAACAAGGGAAAAGGACATCTCCTACAAGTGAAGTTTTTAATGGGAAAATAACATTTCTATGTATCCATAATATATAAATTAAGGAGAATCCATTGCCATGTTTGATTGCTACAAGTTCATCGGGATTGGTCAAAACATGTCAAAACCCTCCTGTTCACATCAAAATAGCTGGGATTCAAGGACATTCATTCCCCCAATGATTATATTTATAGGTAAGTAGGTATTGATGGATGGCAAACGATCCTGTGTTCCATCAACAACTGATCACTCACCCATTAGTCACATGATTATTCCATTTATGATTTTGAGTAATTACTGTGTCCGTTGAACCGGCATTGATTAACTTTCCATCAATCATCCAAATTGTTGTCAGTAAAACCCCCAATTTATGCTACTTGAATTCCCATTCGATCAATTCAACCAACTACTGTGAAACATGGACAATTTCACCATTGACTACCCTCTGGTAATTTAACATAGCTATGGAAAATCACCATTTATAGTGAATTTTCCCATTAAAAATGGTAATTTTCCAGTTCGCAAACTGTTAAATTACCATTGACTACCATTCATTCACCATCAAAAACACCGTTTTTTTGTATACCATCCAACCATCCAACCGAGGTTAAGCCGGCGGTTCAACGCCTCCGTTTCTGCGCCACCATCCCGATGCGCTAAGCGAGCGTTCATGCGCTAAGCCCCAGAAACCAGGGTGGATGTAGGGGATGAAAGCACCTATTTGGGAACATAGAATGGGGGTGTTTAACAATAGGGGATGAGATTCTTCCCACAAGAACCCGAAAAATCATGGAAGATTATGGGAATAGAGGTGCCATCATTGGGGGGTCCCTATAAATTCTGTGGAAATGGTGTCTAGGGTAAAATTGTGTGTTTTTTTTCCGTTTGACTTACAGTAAAGCGCATGTGATCTGTCCTCGCACTTCAGATCAGGCTGCGCTGTCGACGCAGGCAGTCTCAATCCAGCTTCACACACATGAAGTGCAGAAGTGTTGCATCAAATAATCATAAATAATCATAATGTGTTCCTGTGTGCTAGCTTTGTGTCGAAGATAAGTTAATGCAAGATAATCTCCACCATAACTTATCCATTCCATGGCTCTGTGGATGCCTGAAATCCCCTGGTGATACCCCTGGTGATACCCTCTATATCCATAGGGAAGCGGAAAGGGAAAGCCATAGTTTCAGAAGGAAAACATCTAGAAATGGTGGATAAGCGTGGATGAGCTTCAGGGATCCATATCCATGATTATCCATGCGCCGCAACAGGATCCAAAATTGAGGTTTCACCCAAGGCATCCAAAATTTTCCGGGCTTCTGGAGCCCATCCCTGTGCGGTACAAAAAACGTCGGATTTGTAGCTACTCTGTCTATATCTTATATATATATACTGTGTATGTATATATAAAATATATAATTATAATATATATATATATACGTATAGTCTACTATAATTACTTGAAAGACGTAAAACAATATAAAACAATCAGAATTGGTGGTTTCCAATAGCTCTTTGACCGCTCTGACATGTTTGACCCTTTTCCCACCATTGGCGCGACACAGACCGCGGGGGAAGACGCGTACCATAGCGCTTCATGACGCAATAGACGGTCTCCGGCACATACTCCATGACCTGGAAGGGCGCCCTTCGGATCATTTTTCGAAATGGAAAGTGGGACTTGAAACCATAATTGGATAGGGATTTAACATATATTTAACTGATTTAAGCAACTTAAAATAGGTATCTAAACCATCTGAAATAGGCATAAAACACCAAGAAATGCTTGCGGCATTTAACAGTGGATTTTCCGGGAACATCTGCAGGATTTCTGAGGTCAAGTTACTAGCAGCTAGTTCCATTCCGACTCCTTTCCCAAACACGATGGAAAATCACAATTTTTAATGGGGAAACTGAGCTGGTGATTTATTGGTGATTTAATGGGATTTCATGGGATTTCATGGTGATTTAGTGGGATCTAATAGTGATTAATGGAGGTTTACCCTCTGGTAAACGTTTACAAAAAACTATGGAACATCACCATTTTATAGCTGGGTAAACCAACTATTTAACTATGGGCCATTTTCAATAGCTATGTAACAAATTACCGGAGGGTAATCCTTATCAAAACGGATTGATGGCCATCGCCCATTACCAGTATCAGTATATAATCCCCGAAGAACTGAGTATACAATCCAACTGATGCAACTATTGACCATGGCACATATGTTATAACCCCGGTCTCTATGGGACCCGTGTTTCGGAACGAAGTGGATCACCAGGGTAAGGCTTACCAGGATTCTTGGGATCCTAAAGGAGTAGGAAGGTTGGTGCAGAAGGCTAGAACTACCTGTCACTGACTGAATCCTTATCACGGACTGGGAAATTTCTCTGGGTTACCAAGATTTCTTCGGAATTCCCTGGTTTGGATGTACAAACAATTTTAGGATCGTCCTAATAGTGAAGATTTGATGCCACCAAAAGTCATGATGGTGAGATGCCAGATATTGAAGGGACATACTATCTTGCTGCATCCGGGGCTAATTGCTACACCGAAATTGCTACACAATAGCCATCCCATGACGAGTCGGTGTCCTCTCCCATCAGGCAAGGATCCATGTTCAGGTACAGTTCATCCACCAAATCTCCGGAGGTGTAGAACGCATGCTGCGAAAAGCGCGGGAAGGGAAGGGGATGCGAAGTGGAGCCCTCATCTTGACACATGACACAGCTCTTTGGTTGCCACTGCTGAATCCAAAAAAACATTCTAAACACTGAGAATATTTAGTGGAATATGATGGAATATGCACAATCATATAAGAATCATATACATCAATTGTGGGGCATCAATTCTGTTGGGCCTTTAAGGTCACGATGTTGGGATGGTGCATCTCCCGCCACACTTGCAGCTCTCGATTCCGGTAGCGCCGATCCACAAAGACCTGGGCTTAGAAGGCGAAAAAAACAGGAGATATGTGGAGAATTCTGGAGAGATACTGTTATAACAATAGTATACAATAGGTATAGGTTG